CTCACGTTTTTGCTAGCAACAGAGGGAAGTTAATGCAATTTTAAAAGATTTTAGGTCAAGTTCATCCATGTTTAATGAATTGGGGGATGATCTGGCCCATTCTGTGCATCTCAATACGTCTTACTGCTTAAAACAGCAACTGTGCCTGTGTCCAAGGAAAGAACAGGACTTACACGCTCAGTTATACATAATTTGTGGATTTTACTGAACAATGAAAATGCAATGGCTTTGTCACTGTGCCCTGATGCAAACCAATGGGGTTTCACTGGGAATGGCTGGAGCTCACTGGCAGGAGTCAGAGGGAATGTCAGCATGGCTGGGCTGCTGAGGACTCTGGAATTTTGCCTGGTTCCTCTGAGCAGGGGCTTTGTACTATTTCCTGTTCCCAGTCCCAGTCTTTGTCCTTCCTACTGGTGCCTCCATCCTCACCCACTGACACTCCACCTTTCCATTTCCTGCTTTTTCCTGCTCTGCTGACACATCCTTTAACAGCAGCAGCAGCTTTGCTCTTCCTTCCAGGCACCCTCCTACTTCCTGTCCCATCCTTCCTCACATCTGGGGGTTTGACCCCAGTTTCCCTTCTGATCCCCTCCTGCACACATTTCTTGTTTCCTGAAATGTTGGTTCTGCTTTGCTGTTTTTCTATTCTTTCTGATTGAAGGGATCCTGTCCAGGAATGTCCCAGGAGCTCAGACCGTGTGAAAAATGTGACAATGGTGAAAGAGTGCAGACAAGGCCCAAGCAAAAGATGAGGATGAGTAAAATGGTTTTGATAAAAACACAGACCAGATAAGTGACAGCAGTGAAGTACTTCACACTCAGAGCAGACTGAAATCAAGATGGGGAAGAAAGTCTGGTAAATTTAGCTAATGTTGACTCAGCTGATGTCCCCAGGGTGATCCACTAGATCTGCTTTAGTTTCCTCAGGCTGCTGCCTCGTATTTGTCTTTATTAAAAAAAAATCTTTCAACCAACCAAAAAAAACCCCCAACACCCCCCCCGCCTGTCTCTTTCCCCCTCAAAAAAACCCCAGAGGGTTTATCTGCAAGTGTTCTTTAGCCTGTGCTCTGTGCTGAGCCTTTCTGGAGGAGATGTGGCTCCAGGAACCACTGATCTGTTTCAGGTACTGCTGACCAGCTGGAGCTGGGAAGAACAAGCTGGAAATGCTCAGTTGAAATCCTCATTACTGAGTGTTTGGCAGAATTATGAGCATTCATTCTTTGAAGCCAGTGATAAATGCCAAGAAAAGCTGAATTTCTAGGACTGCCTGTTAAAGAGCCTCCAATGCCCACATCCCAGAGTGTGTATGCATGCCAAAATATCTGATTTAATTACTACATCTGATATATATCAACCAAAACATTTTAAAGTAGATGCTGTAAATTGTAAATGAAATACATGAAATCCTCTCCCACTTTACTCCTACAAAGGGTTTTTAAAGTCTACAAACCTCCCACAGTGTCCCTCAGACAGGCCGTGTGTCCAGTGAGACACAGCTCACTCAGGTGGAACACAGAGTTCCTTTAGAGTGCACAAAGCAGCAACTGCTTGTTAAGGATATCAGCCCAAGAATAGCATCCATCTGAAACACCAAGGAGAATTTAGGTCAGGAGAACATAATTATCCAAGTTGGAGTTTGTCCAGGTTACCTGGATTACCACTGCTATAAAAAGCAGAGTGGGACCATCAGTAAGTGATTAGGAGCTGTGTTTAGCAAGGCTTTGGAAGATCCTCATGTGAATTAGTATTCCATTCCAACGAACTTTTGGTACGAGTTGTGCATCCATTTCATTAAAATCTCCCCTTTATGCCACGGCATTCAGCTGCTGCTTTCTGGCCAGTCACAACTTACTTTTTTCTAAAGTTTCAGTGCAAAAAAAATTACATAGCATTAAAGTCTTCTGTATTAGATAAATAATAAAAACTACTAAATGTTAAAACACTGGCAATTAGTCATCTCTTGTGTTTTATTTTTGGGTTCTTTGTGGTCTCAGCCCTACAAGGAGCCTCCAGGATTATCCTTTCTATGAGCCCTAAATTGGTATCTCCAGCTGTAAACCTATTAAAAAGGCAATCAGTTCCCCCAAACCTACTGCAACATGCACCTGTAGAGCACAGTGAATTTCCAGATGTAGGTTCATAGCTGGGTAGAAGCCTTTGCCTGGAGGGTGATTTGGGAGAACCCCTCTGTGCAGAACTCACCTCTGTGCTGGTGCCAGCTGGGGCAGCCTGACCTACTCCATCACAATCTGTCACTTCTCACTGCCTTCCCTGACTTTGCTTTCAAAGAAATTAAAAATAAATCTCTCATTCCCAGAACAATAGTTATTGCTAAAGGAAATGGAGGCAGACTGGGGCATGCTCAAGGTTGAGTAATCCCTGACAGTTTTCCCTTCTGTGCTGCCCTGTCCCTTGCAGACCTATTTGCTCTCTTTGCTGACTCACAAATCCACGTGGCAGACTTAAAGGACTTTATTATAAATACTCCAATAATCTGAGCTGTCACTCCTGCGAGCCGCTAAGCTTCTGCTTGGGGCAGGGGTAATAATGAGTTCTTCTATTCCTTTATTTTCCATGAGGGAGAGCTTTGCATGGATTTGTTATCAGACATCTGCCCTGTGGGATTCTACAGCAACTTATTCCTACTTCCACATTCTGGGGAAGGATGGATTCCCTTGGTTATTTTGCTTGTGAGCAGAGCAATAAAAAGAGCAGCAAATGCTCCTTCCTTTGTCTGTGTGAATTGTGGCATTCAGCAGTTCCTGGAGGGCTGTGGTGCTCCACACAAGGGCTGAGGGAGCACAGATCCATGACTGTGTTTAGCAAAGCCTGGATGTGGCACTGGGTTTAGCTGAGGTGCTGGGGCTGGGTTGGATTCGATCATCTGGAAGGTCTCTTCCACCCTGGTCTTTCTGTGAATTCTGTGACTCCACAGCACACTGAAAAGCAGAGCAGTCATGGACAGGACTGCACAAGGTTCTGAGAGAGACCACGACTGCAGGAAGGAGGCTGTGACTGGAGCTTTGCCATCAACAAGGCAAAGGGAAGTCATGCTAAGCCTCCAGTGAGCAAACATTCATTACCAGCTGTTCTACCCTCAAGGTTTTGCTGCCCACCCTCAGCCTCTCTGTCTGCACCTTCCAGTTCCTCAGTAGAATAGCTCCCCTATTCACATTTTTATTCTGTGATGTTAATCAAGTAGGCTAATTATATATACGCCAGGGTTGACATTGGCAGGAATCACGGAACTGGAACCACCTCCCACCTCCTCACACTCCCCTTCTGTTCAGACCTGGGGTGTTATTAATCCCCTAACACCAAATCATTTCCATTCTGTTCTTCCAGTTATGGCAAATGCATGTGCCAATTAGACTTTTGCCCCTAATTTGCATGTGCCCCTGAGTTTTGAACAGAATGCCTCAAGAAAATGGGTCAAAATTCAATGAAAAAATATTCTACCACCACTGCTTCTACAAAACCGCTGCCTTCCTTGAGAACATGTTGATTTTCACATGTTGGCACAAAAAAAACCTCCCTCCAAACACAAAGCACTTCAATGCAGTTAAATTATTCTGCTTTGGCTTTGTGCCCAGGAAATATTTTTGGGGTTTGTACATAGAGTTCTCTCGTGCGTTTCCATTCAGAAGCAATAGGATTGATACTGTAGTGATCGCTGTGCTCTGCAAACATTTGCTGTGTTGTCTGCAGGAGACAGGGCGGGGGTAATCACTCATGAACTATTTCTGTGGGAGAGCCCTCCTGCTGCACCAGCCATTTCAGATGCACTGCAATTTATTCAGTGTCAGAACTGGCACTGGAGAGGCTGCAGCTGCTGGGATCAGACCTGGGATCCAAGCAAACAGGAATTCTTGCCACAGTGGGCACCAAGGGCACTGCTGAACCAACCTCACTGTTCAACAAATACATTTATCAAGCACAATCCTGTAAGGCTATGATTAAATACTGCAGATTCTGTCTTTACAATAATAAAACCCCTCACAGTGCTTGTACTTTCTTTTAGCATTTTGCAATTCCTCAGATTGTTCCTATTCACTTTTGGTCATGTTCATCTGCCACCTCTTAAAAATAAAATTTAAAAAAATCCCCCAAGATCTCTTCATTATATCAAGTAAAAGGCAATCAAAGCCAGATTTCTGTGGGAGCTCACCAAGACATGTTCTTTAGAGAAATGAAAAGGTCTTTTTGGTTCAATTTTCCCCAGTCCCCATTTCAGCTGCTGTGATCCAGGAACTCCCCCCAGACACAGAGCTCATTTCCCTCTCAGCCAAAGGATGCAGGTACAAATGTGTTGCTCTAAGTTTTGCACACCACATTCATTTGTGTAAAATCTTGGCTAGACTCAGACTCATTTCAGCAAATGGTCAGACCAAGTCAAGAAAAATCAGAGAAATTTGTGTTCATACCTAGAAAAGTCCTCCAGTTTCTGCTTTCTGATAATCCTGTGGCAAATTCTAGGCAGGCAGTAGGATCAAGAATTGTGTAACCACACAGCCACAGATAACATCCAGTGTGACTCAGAGCAAACAAAGAAATTTTTCCTCAGAAGCAGAGAAAATATCAGCTCTGTAGGAATTCCTGCTCCACCTGAGGCAAGGACATGAAGGTCAGTGGGTAGAGCAGAATTGCTTTTCACATTTCAGTTTGGGAGAAGAAGACGGTTCTGAAATGCATTCAGCATCTAGAGAATAAAATATAATAAGAGATCCCCTGAGGTACTTTGCTTCATTGTGGGCACACCAAGGAATTCCACAAATCTCCTGCTCATCACAAAGTTCATGTGATGGACAGAGCTTTGTGTGCACATCATAAGCATAAGTAGGACAAGGACAGAAAAAATAAAGTTTTATTTATATCACTGTAAACAGATGTCCAAGACAAGATCAAGCAAGCAGACAGAGAGAAAAAAACCATCCCAAGAAACAGCCAAATAAATTCCCCTCCATGGAAGCTCTCAGTGCTCATCTCAGCTGGGACTGGAGGTGTGCACACACCTAATTAGCACTTGCTTCTGCAACCAGATTAGTGACCTTTCAGAGCAGGGTGTAAGGAACAGATGAGAGAATCTCCCACACCACTCCCGTGGGATTTAACAGAGCTCTTCTCCAGGGCTTTGAAACTGTGGCACACAGAAAACGCACCAATGCTTTCCTGGCTGCAGCAAGGCAGAGTTCCTCCAAGCAGAGCAATGCAAGAGCTGCAGTTACAGACCTCACCCCACTGGGATGCTCTGGGGCTGACAAGAGCCACCAGACCGGGTGGTTTCCTTGCAAGGATCCCTCTGATCTGAGGCACTGGAAAACAAACACCTGATATTCCCACTGCCTCCAAGAGCAGCTGTGCTAGCTCAGGCTCAGAAATCAGGGAGCAAAGGGTCCCTGATAAAGCTGCCGTAGGCCCATCTGTTCAGAACTGATTTCTGGGATGGAGAAAATACAAAAGAGGGAGAAAAGCCCTTAAAGCACGAGTCTTTTGAGGTTTTAGGATGAATCCTTTGCCGTTTGTGGCTGGGGTTGCCAAAGCAATTCTGAGCCTGTCTGAGTAAAGGTAGAGCTGAAGGCACACACAAGTGAACAGGGTTTGTGCCCTCTCTGGGGCTGCTTGGGCACCTCCATTTGCTGAAACATCAACCAGCAGGTGCCACATCCACTTTGGGGAAGAATTAGTACAATTAAAACATGACTTTTAATTGTATATAATTAAAATGTGTCTTTTGAAAACAAATTCTCATTTCAAAAGCTGTTCCCAAGGCTCAGCCACCTCCTGACTGGAGAGGGACAGGGGTTGCTGGGCAAAGGCATGGAGTGGTTTGGCTGGGGACATTGAGGCTACAGCAAACCTGGGATTTAGATCCTCACACACCTAAATCACGGAGAGATTGAAGTTACTTTGGACAACAGGACTGATTTATGGATGGAGAGGGTAAATCCTAAATTTCTCCTCCTTTCCCACAACACACCAAGGTTATTCTGCAGTGAGCTGAGAGCCTGCACCCAGTTGCTCACTGAAGGACACCTGGATTTCCAGAGAGGACCTGGAGCTGCAGGGACACACGGAGGGTGAGCACCCAGCCCTGCAGGCAGCTGCTGCGGAGTCAAACACAAAAGAAAGCATGCAGCTCTGCACTGGTACAGATGGAGAGAGATCCCATGGCAACTTTTATTCTGCAGCTTTTAAACAAACTGCTACAGCAGGAGCAGGAGAGATGGGAGGTGGGTGTAAAACCACAGCCATGAGACAGCTCCCTCCAGGACATTTGTGCCCACATTTCCTGGCTCTTGGTTTCACTGTTATTTGTAAGGGAGCTGAAGCCAAGACTTCTGCCAGCCTTTCTATCACTGGAGAAGGAACCAGCAGCCACAGCTCCAGCTCAGCACAGAGGAGAAGCAGCTGTCTGTTAAACCATTGGAAAACTTTGCAGTGCAGCTGCTTTTGGAGCATAAATAATTTCTGTTAATGGGCCAGATTGGCAAATGAATTCAATTGTTTCCTTTCAAACAGGGTTTTTACATCCAATTTTGACAGGGTGTTTGAAGTGGGAGCTCTCAACTCAGTGCTTTTTGGAGAGGTTTTCCAGAGAACACATTTCTGAAGAACACCTGGAAATTTGGTGACATTGCAGTATTTGTAAGGTCTTGTATAACACAGTAGCAAGAACCAACTGCTAAGCATGACCTAGAACCATCTCCTTCCCTGAGCTACAAGTATCTGTCAGACTTTGGATATGCCAACAATTTTGACAGGGTGTTTGAAGCGGGAGCTCTCAACTCAGTGCTTTTTTGGAGAGGTTTTCCAGAGAACACATTTCTGAAGAACACCTGGAAATTTGGTGACATTGCAGTATTTGTAAGGTCTTGTATAACACAGTAGCAAGAACCAACTGCTAAGCATGACCTAGAACCATCTCCTTCTCTGAGCCACAAGTATCTGTCAGACTTTGGATATGCCAAACGAAGGAAAGGAGGAGGACATAGAGGGGAAAAACCCAAGGAAACAAAAAACCCAACAGCCCCACATTTTCCTTTAGAAAGCAAATGCTCAGCCTAACCAGTCCCACAGTTCAGGATGCTGGATGGTCACTTAGAGAGTAGCATGAGATGGCATTGCTGCTAAGACAAAAACACATGTCCAGCTCTGGTCTTTGGCAAGAAGTTACTCCATCTTTGACTCATCCCAAGTCAGGAGAGGCCTCCCAGAGGGTGAAATCCACAGCCCTCCTTCAGGCTTTGGGGCTCAGTTTGTGTAAGAGTGACAGGATCTGTGGGTGGGATTTAGGTGTTAAAGAGGCAGGTTATGATTGCTGGGATTGTTTTGCCTCTTTGTTCATCAGGTACTTGAGAAGGAACACTCTCAGTGAACATGGCAGGACTTCTCATGATGAGAGAAAGAGGAAAGAGTCCACCTCCTCCATTAGCCAAAAAAACCCCATGATAATCTTGCTGGGCAAGTCAGCACAGAGTGGCCATTCAGGAGAGGCTGCAAAGGAACAAAGCTGAGTACCCAAGGGTTGGACTCATGATCCTTGTGAGTCCCTTCCAACTCAGAATATTCCATGACAATATGGCCTCTGTGGATGGCAGAGTATGTTTTCTTCTATACATTTACATTTTTAATCTGGTACCATAGAGTTTACCCACTTTTGGCTCAAAAAGCAAATAGCCTGTGTTGCTGAACCTCCAGCTACCAGCACAGCTTTTTAAACCAAGCTCTTGTTTAATGATAATTCTGGCATCATTAATTTTATTTATTTATTTTAGTAATCCCCTGGTTCAGTTTGCTCTGTGTTGCTGCATCCTCTGCAAGGGCAGTGATCTTGCACATTATGATGGTTTCTGCATTAAGCATCTTCTGTGAAAAATCAGAAAACTCCAGCAGAGCAAATTGCTGGGTGTTGCTGGGGCTGTGCTTGGTGCTGTGGTCATATACTGGACTGAAAAATAGAATTGCACCTCTCCTGCAAGCCTTACCAAGGGACTGGTGTGCATGCCAGCTGTCAGCGTGGGGAAAGAAGGGTAATTGGAGCGATTAAAAGCTCACAATGGTTCCAGAAAGGCTTTTGCATTTAAGGTGGAGTGAAACTGCGCTGTGACAGGGCCACGGCTGCTCTGGGAAAGTCTGTGGAATCCTAGCTGTCATCTCTGCACCAGTATTTTACATTCTGGAACCTTGACCCCACCAGTTGGCAGCTACACAAACACCTCCAAGGCATGCTGGGGAGCAGCAGCACAAAGGGATGTGCTGACCCCCAAGCTGTGCTAAGGAGCTGTGTTAAAAATATCCTCTACTTGAATATATAATTAAATAGTGGCAATTTTAGTAGCTAATGTGAGGTGAACACAGGAGGGCCCTTATTTATTACTGCAAGCAGCACAAGAGCAGTAGTCAATTAATGCAGGGAAGGAAAAAAATTCCACATATATTTGATAGGATTCAGTAAGATCTCAGAGATAAGGATCCAGAATCTCTGTAGAAATCAGGACCATGCAAAGCAATGACATTACAGTTCATTTGAATTACTGTACCAGTGGGATTTTGCAAATTTATCTGCTGCTGCACCCCTCAAAGAACTGACCCAAGCAATATCAGTGTGCAGGACATCTGAATATTATCTAAGTTTTCCAGAAAATAATTATATCTTTCTGGAGCCTAAAGGAGACCTTGAGGAAAACCAAACAGTGCTGTCCTCCATCTCCAAAGGCTGTCTTTACATGCACATTTCACACTGGATAAAAATAGCCTTAAACCCTGGGTTAAGTAAGCTTCTTATATTGGAAAAACCTGTTTCAAGTGGACAAAGGAGACAGAAGTGGCACACCATAAAAAGGCCTTTGGTTTCAGTGTCTGCAACTTGAAACAGCAGCCTGGTCTCATCTTCTGTGTCCAAGAGGGAACTAACCAACATTGATTGCAAAGAGCAGAGTAAGCATGAACAGGGTGTGGGCTCTCTACTTCTGCTTTCTGCATTTCAAGATCAGGCTAAGTTCCTTTTCAAGCCTAACTGGAAACTGTGCAAAAAAAAAATATTGACAAGGGAAGGACAAAAATCCATTCTGTATCTCTCATCAGTACTCAAAACATACAAGATCTTCACTGTAGAAGAATCAACTGCAGTCATTTCCATTGCCAGTAATTTTGAAACTGTCTCATTAGTACTAAAACATTTCTAGAGACACACACATGGCTTATTTCTTTTGTAATTATTTCTGAGTTACAGTTCAAAGGAAAGTTGAAGAAAGTCACAGAACAGGATATGAGACTTCCTGGTGCATTTTTAAACTGCAGTGCATAAAGCAATAGAGCTCTGTAGATTACTCCAAAGGGAATGGGAAGGGAACTAAGGAAAGCAAGCCCATTGTTTTGCTAAATTGATTAATCAAACGTCCAGAAACAAAAGAGTGAAAAAAGAAAAGCTAAGCAAGATATTCAGAGACTGCATGCTACTGCTTAGTTCTGCTGGTCTCTTCCTCTTGGCTACAAGATTTCAAGCCAACTTGGTCTCTTCAGTGTGCCTCAGTTTCCTCTTAAACACCTCACACTCCCCCAGAATAAGAAGTCAGAAGGCTAATCATCTCTCATAATCAGCCACACTAAGATCACCTTGGAGGATTTTGGCCTAAGCCCTTAAAATTGAACCTGGTAAGACTAGAAACTAAAGCTTCATTATTATTTCTTACTAATTACTACTAGTCCCCTTAGAAGTCTTGTGGTCAAACCCAGCGTTTCTGTGAGAGCTCCTGGGGTAGATGCAGGACAAGCAGCTGGGTGACAGAGGGAATTCATCACTGTCCTACAGCAAGCCATTCCCACACCTGAATCCTTGCCTTTTGTGATGGGGACCAGCTTAAAAGTGAAATTTAGTGGATCCCTCACCACACCAACTTAATGGTACAGAGCAACAACTGAGAGCTACAGCTCTGGAGGCCAAGCTCCACCACTGGCTGTGAATAGTTCGAGGTCTAGAAAGGAGAAGAAAAGTTGGAAATTTTGGCCAGAATTATATCCACATTTCTGCGGTTCTAACAACAGAACAGGCAAAAGTAGCTCACATGAACACAAGATCTTTAAAATATAGATGTAAGGGAAACAAAGAGCAGATGCATGAGAACAAGAATTTTGTCTTACTGAACCAAAAAAGAATTTCCTCAGTGTAGGAACTGGTCTCAAAGCACTGCAGAAAGGGGATCATTGCCCTCATACCAGCAGTTTATCACCTTCCAAGATTTTTCCTTTGAGGGAGCAAGTCTGTGTGAGCAGTACCAAAGAAGTACTGCTCACACAGACTTGGATCCATAACTCGGAGTCCAGCACTCAGTGAGCATCCCTGTGCAAGAGCCCAGACTGAGCTCCTTCCAAAGTTCAGAGCAAAGTCACTCCCAACAAAAGTCACACCACCCATTCATAAGAAGAGATGCTCCCACACCCCCCTCCCAGCACCTCATGCGTTTGGCATTGCTACAAATCAGAACAAGGAGTTCAATGGAAATGAGGAGGGTGGACATTTCACATTTACTTTCTTTCCAAACAAAACTGTTTCTTCAAACAGAGCTGCACCTTCCTACCAAACAACCCTTCCTAGACTGATCCCAGGGCTGTGCTCCCTCTTTGGGTGATGGGTCTCCTGCTCAGCTGTTAGCACAGATTTCAGAAGAGCTGCAGTATTTTCCTCTCTTCAGGGCAGAGCCCAGCCAACATCACAAACATGACCCTCAGAATGGATTGACATGGTTAAAGACTTCACAGCACATCATCAGCTCAGGGTAGTATCACCCTTTTCTTCCTCACAGGTACCCAGGAGGCCACAATGTGAACCTGTTAGGAGCCTGATCAGGCTTTAAATATCAGGTGATTTTTAAGCTGATCAGTTCCCTGATCCACTTTGCTGTATAAAAAAATTCCATTGATAAAACTGAGGGCAAGACAAAACCAGGAAAAAGTGAAACTGGAGGAAGAAACTAGAAGGAAAGAATACATCAATCCAGCATTACTACTGGATAAAGAATTAAAGTCATAAAACCACTACAGAAATCTCAATATTTAGGCAGAATTAGGTACCAATACTGGTGATGGGTGGCTGTGGAAAGCTGTTGTACCCTCACAAGGTTCAGTCAGAGAACCCCCACCAACACATGCAGCTGTTCTTTCTCAACATAACATTTAGAACACTAACACATCTCCATAAAGCCCTTTAATCTAAGGTTTTATATCCCAAGCTGATCCCTAAACTGTGTGTTAGCACTGAGAACTGTCAGGGAGGCATTTCAGGATTCCACGTGGGTTATGCTATCCCTTTTTTTTCCTGCTAAAGGAAATATCTTGGAAAGGAATGGCCTCCTGTGTCTGTTCAGTAATGAGCCATGGGCATGTCTGACCATTTGTTAGCACATGGAGAGGGATTTCTCCTCCAAGAATAGATAAAAAGGAATTAGAGCTAATTGAACCACATACCTGAATAAGCCAGAAGCAAGCAATGCAAAACTCTGCAAACTGCAGATCTTCCTTGAATTTTCTCTTGGACTTTCCATGGGAGATTTTGCCAGCATGGAACAATCCTTTGAAACAACGGAACAAATGTATGAGTCACTTAAAAAGTTCTCATTTTCAACAAAAAGCTGAATTACTTGCCCACTCTAATTGGGACAGATATTAGGCTGAAAACCATGACTCCACTGATTCAGCACATTGGCGTCTCAGGAGACAAAATGTTCCTGCTGTCCAGGCAGGCTGGGAATTGCAGGAGAGAAGGGAAGCTGCCCTACAGTGCTTTACAGGGCCTAAAACTGCAAGCAAGGGAAGCAGGATTTTGCTAAAAAGACAGAATTGAAGTGGGGAAAAAAACTTACTTGCAGTCTTAATTTATCTCAAAACACAGACATAGCTTCATCTGGATTGTAACAGCTTTCTAGAGGAGATGGGCCGTGCCTCTTCCCTGGGAAATCAGCAGTGATACTGAGCAAGTGAAGCCACATAGCCAGTGTCAAGGGTTACCTTGACATGCCTACAATTAATAAAATACACTTGGGAAAAGAGTTTAAGGGCATCTGTGTTAAAGGGCAAAAAAAGAGAATTTACAATTGGAACATGATTATTGGACTCAATACAAGGATTATTAGGTGAAACTGTGTGGCTTCTATTATGGGAAAGGCAGATTAAAGCATTAATTGGGTTTAAAAAATTACTCGTAGGGCAAACAAAGAATGAAAGGATAATAAAAAATCACAAAAAGGATTCAACAGCTGTCACATTCTAGGTAACACAAACAGATAACACAGGCAGTGTTTCCACACACCCCAGCAGTGCTTTCCCAAAAACAGAGCTGTGACTTGTCTCCCTCAGACTAAACAGGAAACAAGAACTGGTTTGGGCTGGAGCTACATATTCACAGTAAAATGATTACTGGAGAAAGCATTTGGTACCAGTTTCAAACCCCACCATAAGACAGAGATTGCTCATCCTCATCTAATTTCTTTTCTTGCACGTGAACAGGAACTTCATACAAGATTTTAAACACTGCTTTCTGTGGGGTTTTCACCTGGAAAAGCACATGGCACTTGTCCTCAGGAATTAGTAGGATGGTGTGTACAGTACAGCAATGAAAATGCAGCAAAACAAAATGATAGCAAGCAGATTTAGCTCAGGAAAATACAGACTGAGCATGAAATTCCTGGAAAACACATTTGATGCAGCATTATTTAATATTTAAATCCCCAACCTTCCTATTTATTCCTGTTGAAATGCATAATGTGAAAATCATTTTGACTTTTCCCTCCCCACAGGCGAATTCTCAGCTTTGAAGATTTTAGCTCTGAAGCTGTCACATATCTGCTCTCTTTTTAAACAAGAGTTTTACTAGAGACAGTCAGACAATGTTGGTTTACAACATTTATTTTCACCTTTCGCATTTAGAACAGAGCTCATGGCAGGTATTTAGGAGTTCTAGATGCTCTCCAGTAAGAAAGCCTAAATACTGTGGTGTTTGAGAAACTGCCATATTGGTAAAGCCATTGCTCCTAATGAGTACAGTCTACCAGCAAACCAGGATTTATTTATTCCAGACATTATGAATAATTTCTAACAACAAATCCATCTGAGAATTTTGCAGTTTGCCAGCAAACAAAGGAAGTGGCAGAATTTCTCAAATTAATTTTAATGCATTATTTACCAAAGCCTCTTGCATAATGAGGTAGGGAACAATTCTCTGCTGACAGAACTAGAGTAACAATCTAAACAGATATTTTTCATCTTCTGTTTCTACAAAATGGCAAGGACTAAAAACATTCATATTTATATCCATCACCACTGTGAACCAAAGCCTTATATGCTCATTAATATGCTTAATTAATGTGCTTATATGCTACTTAATACATAGCATATAATGAAATATTTACTGACACTGCATCCCATCACTGACCATATCTTTTGTTAATAAAGAAAAAAGTGTCTCTTACAAAACCAAAGATAAATTAAACCAAAAACATGTCTAAAATCTTCAAAAGACCTTATCAGAGTCTACTTCTCAGCCAGAGCATTTCCTCCAGCAGTCTCACCCCAAGGTCTGCTCAAAGCTAATCAATCACTCTCCACCCTCCTCCTCATCATTTCCTTTTAAGCACTAGCTGGAAATAGCCCCATCTGCTCTGAAAATCAAAGAGCAGCAGCTGCTGATCAGCCCCCTTTTAGGGCAGCCTGTGAGACTTAAGGATATTGTCCTGAGCAACTCAGTCAAAATTAATTATAACCTCGATGGAATTAATTAGAGGCTATCTTTATTTCATCTCCATTGTTGTGCAGACAATTGTTTGCTGCTCCTCACATGACTTGGTAATTACAGGAAGATGAAACCACTTAAGATGAAATGTCCTGAATGGGTTTTGATTCAGATTTACAAGTGTGTGTTTGCAGAGCTGGGGGGAGAAGAGTGCTGTTTGTTAAATACAGAGCAGATCTCCACACACGCACAAAAGCTTTGTCAGCTCTTATTATTGCTCAGTTGGGCCAGCAAAACAGAAAGGTTTTTGTTAATTAAAAAAATACTATCTAGGAACAAGTTATCTCTAACACAGAGAAACTGTGGTGGAATTCTGTTGTAAAATTCAGATTTTAGATTCAGGAAGCCTTGCCCTCCTATTTGAAGGTGTAAGAAGCTTCCTGAGATCTGTTACATGTTACCAGTAGTTTCATCTTGCACTGTGGGAGGGAGTTTCTATAGGCACTTTAATTCCAAGCCAGATCAAATGGCTCTAATCAGTATTTTCTCAACCTTTTATCAAGGCAGGCAAGTGCCTGCACGTGACACAGATGCTTCCCAGATGGTTTTCAGCTAAAAAGAAAGAGTCTTATCAGGACTGAAAAGAGACAGTGGCAGATTTCTGTTTGGTTAGTAACCACTGCTCTCCATATTAACATCTTTGATTAGATTACAGGAATGAGATTCTCTAGTTTGATAGTATAAAACCCATTTGAGAACAGCAAAAAACCCCTTGCATTTAAGAGAGGAAAACATCCATCTAGTTGTAATCTACTGAAGTAATTTCTCCCTAGCAGCATAACAAAGCTAAATTATGCTAAAATAATAATGTCTGTGCTTGGGAGAGGCTAAATGGAAGCTGACCCTCCCTGTGGACATGAGTGCTTCATGTTTCCAGGGCTAATAAATAACAGAACCAGCAAATGCAATGCCTGGCACTCCTGGGAATTGGCTAAACTGAGTCTATGGCACAAAAGTGGAGCTGAGTGATTAATTCATGTAGTGCCTGCTACGAGGAAGATCCAGAGACCCTGGGTCATGGGGACATTATTTTTAGAGTGTGAAATCCTATGAAATTATCATGCCTTTTACATGTATAATACATGAGGAGGCAGGGAGGCTCAGCTTCATCCTGTCTCTTCTTACAAGCAGTGGCTCATGAGTGAATTTTTGCTTCATCAGTCATGTGACAACCTGAGGAGAAGGAAACAGCAAAGACAAAATGGTTCTCGATAGCAGCAAACTGTTCTAAACGTGCTCAGCTCATTTCTGAAAAATTCACAGGAGAACATATTAAAAATCAACATGAAAACCATCAGGTAGTTTTTGGGACAGGTAACAGGCACAGGCATTTCAGAGCAATCCAAGACTTTCCTGAAGTAACTCCATTTAAAATGAACACTGTATCCATCTCTGGTTCTACAGCAGTGATTTCACATGCAGGTACAGAGCTATAGTATTTGGGTACTAAAATATTGCAGTTATACAACACACACACAAAATGCTCAGAAAATTTAAAACTGAGAATGCACACAACTCTCTTGTGGTTGTCACAGATATGCAAGATTAACTAAGTGCAGCAATAAATGAAATAAAGTTGTATAATTCCTTAGACCCTAATAATCCTGTAGCAATTTGACTTGATTTCCAAACCAATTTTCCCATTTTTTTATCCTCTGGTTAACAATTGCTGTTTACCAAGTTGCTTCCCAGAAACATTGCTGTAAAATATTAGATCTCCTGTGAGCAGAAAAAGGTCATCATGGATATTATGTTCAGTGGAGCACAGAAAAAAAACATCAATTCATCCAAATAAAAAGAATGATATGTGTTTGTTTAAAAGCTATGACTTCTCATTATGTAATTGGTTTAATTAATAGGAATTTTAGTCAAAATCCAAAATGGACACAAAAGATTCTTCGTAAGCTAGCAAAAAGAAAAAAAAAGCGATTTATTTATGTGTGCAAAATCCTAAATATTTCACACACCATTGTTCAAAGGATCTTTCTGTGATTTCAGTTGTATTTTAATCTTAATGGCATAAGACACTGTTTACAGTTCCTCTTGCTCTTGAAGAGGGTTTAAAAACCTTGTGTCCCAACCAGCCACACTATAATTTCCCACATTTAATTAGAAAATAGATGAGATCAGTTTATTTGAACTGGTACTTGAAGTAAGCAATTAAGTGCTTCACTTAATGGGAGTGTGTGCTGTAAATCTGGCCTTTCATTACACGTACAGCTCCCCACACAATCAGTTTCTGGTAGCAGACAGAAGCTTGCAGGCATTGCTTTAATAAAAATACACTATTTACGAATATTGTGATGTATTTCCACTGCCCCTGAGGGACTTACACTAATACAGCCTATTATCTGTCCTTATTACATTGAACTAAGTATGCAATTAATTGGCAATCTGTAGTGGATTATGGAAACATTCCAGATGGATGGGGGTTTATCACAGCATTTTGCTGCAGCAGATACTGTAATTTCCTCAGTTTGGGACACTGACTTTACAAGAATTTATTTCTTTGTCAGATAGGTCTTGGGAGCAAGAATTTCCATTTCCTTTTACAGCAGAGGCAGGGGCTGGAGATGCAGCACAAAGCACCAGTGAGATAACACAGTATTGCTTCAGCAGACTGTCTGTGCTCACACACAATGGGATGTGTGGGCTGCACCTCCCTCAAGAAATGAAAATGCAATCAATTGACTTAGTTAATATTTTGCTCTGTGGGAAAAACTCCATCAGACAGTCTGGAGCTCCATTAATCCGTGGCACTGCTTGAGCTGTGGCAGCCTAAGCAGGAAAAAGACCTTTGTGGTTTGCCAGCCCTCCTCAGCAATTTGGGGGTGAGAGGAGGAGTTGTTCACCTTTCTATCCCTGCCTTCCATTGCCACTGGAGCTGGATAATGCAGGAAAAACCTGGGGTGAGGTGTCTGGAGCTGCCACAGATGGCTCTACTGCCACGGGGGCCTGTGGCTGTTGGGAGGGAGAGCTCACCTGGGAGCTGAATCCAGACAATGTCCAGAGGAGAGCAGCAGACATCACAGAGCAGGCAGGGGCTGGAACACACCACTCTCCCAGGAAGGGTTCTTTAAGATATCCAAGTAAGATGTTATTGTGCACAAACCTCATCAATGCATTACTGAGAGAAAGGAAGTGTACAGAGAGCCCCTTTGAAACCAGCAGAACATGAGCTCCTGTTCTGGTGCAGCAAACAGAGGGAGAGGCCATAGGAAAAACCTCTCTCACAGTATCCCACTTTGGGGCAAAAGCACCCATTTCCCTCTCTGCAGTGGCAATGAGTATTGCTATCCATCAGACTACCTAGGTCTGTGCAGATAAAATGTCACCTTCAAACAGCATTCATGTTATGTAGCAGCTCTTACTCCATGTCTCAAGATTCTGTTTGCTCCCCTCCTCAGCATAAATGCCCAAGAAGCTACTACAATGCATGGATAAGAGTTCTATTCTTGCTCGACTGGGTATCGGTTCCTAAAAGTGAACAGCTCACTGCTTTTCCTATGCACTCAGCAAGTATCACAATTCTTGTGGAGGTTTATAAATGCATATCTGCAGAGACCACAGCTCAGCCAAGTAACCCAATCCTCATGTGAACTACATGCCCTGCTGTAGGAGTTTTCACTTTAATGTAACTTAAGATATAAATCTGAGTGTAAGATAAAATATCTTTTAATTCTTCCAGCTATACCTAAGCCTCCTGATTCCCCCTCCTCTTTGGCACTTGCCAGCCCCATTTATTTTCAGACTGATAATTGCCCCCTTTACATTTCCATCAACAGACCCCCACACATCCAGCAAATCTCCAGATTGCTTTTGCCATGTGTTAGGATTAATAATTAATGAAGCCAGCTGATTGTTCCAAGTGACCCATTATCATGTCAGGGCAGAGATGAACTAGAGAGAAGACAGGATTCATTTCTGAATCTCTAATTTCAATATCAAAGTTCAAAATCAAAACACCACCAGCAACATAAATCTATTTCTCTCAAGAGATCTCTTTTTTTTCAGAGCTGGCCAGAATAGTCCCTCAGCCTGGAAAGCAGATATTCTCATGCTCAGGGCTTTTTAAACAAAAACTATTTTTTCTCCAGTATGTGGCATTTCTCAGGGCTTTTCTGACATTTAAGTATCATCCAGGTATTTAATGATAAGAAGAGAAAAAGAATAGGAAAGGGAAATGTACATTAGCATGAAAGATTAAGGGACATGAATATGTATAGCACACACACAAGAACAAAAAGCTGGTATACAATGGGATGCCACAGAGCAGAGTGGGAGGGCTTCTGTTCATTAAGTGTTGATACAGTGGATTTAAATAAAATTGAATAAAATCCAATTTAAATGCCAGGATAAAAAGCCTTGAAGACCAGGCAGGGAACAGAATGGATTTCTGTCCCTCAGAGGTCAGATCAATGCCTGACCGACAGCAGCTGCAGATGGTCGGCAGCAGAAGCCTGCAAAAAAATAAAAAATTAAATGGTTAGATCAGGTCTGCTGATTCTTTTTAATCCCATTCTTTGCTGTTCCTGTAACACAATATTCAGCTCTAGTACAAAGAAAAAAAATCTATCACAGGTGTCTTAACAGAGCTGGTATCTTATTAATTTGCATCATATCTCAAACCACCTTAGCCTCTATATGCATAATCCTAAAACAGCAGTATTCAATTCTACAAGAATAATTGATACTTCAGCAAGAAGATTGTAAATTCACCCGCTGAGAAAAAGCAAACAAACAAATAAATGACAGCTCATCAATTTATTTGAAGTCATGAGCAAAGCTTCACTGGAGATAGC